CTGCTGCCATCACATCGGCGCTGCTGCCATCACATCGGCGCTGCTGCCATCACATCGGCTCTGCTGCCATCACATCGGCACTGCTGCCATCACATCGGCACTGCTGCCATCACATCGGCACTGCTGCCATCACGGTTGAGGACTTCCCACTGCTGGAAGAAGACTGATGTGGAAAAGGTAAGTATATGGAAAAAAAAAAAGTATAAAATACTGTTGGGGGAGGGTTGTCCTTTAGGGGGCAGCGAATAGGATATTTTCTATTGCACAACACATTGGCCTCATTTTTGTAAGCTAGTTTAGGAAACGTGCTGACCTGTTTTTTGTGTTTTAATTCTCCTAGAGACTGCGAACCTGCATGGACAGGGTGGATGAGAAGGCCCCTGAATATATCAGGATGGCCCAGTCTATCAAGTAAGTCTTTGCAAAATTTGGGTTCATATCACAGCTTAATGCAGAGCCTGATGATGACATACAGTAGAGTACAGTTCCTGTGCCGCCCTTAGTACCCAATCAGATGTCAGCTTTTATTTCATAACCTTCATTAAAAAAAAAAAAAACCTGAATCTGATTGCTAGGAATGCAGCTGCGCTTCCCTGCACAAGGAGACTAGTTCTGGGCACAGCTGAGTGATTTTCACTCGCCCCATAGTTCTCCTTTAAGTAGGGGCAACATTCCCCACACACAAGTACCCCAAAAATTGCCTACCCTGCTCTCGCTTGGGGTTGATTTTGGAGGCCAGCCGAGGAGACATCTCGCAGTGGTGCTGTGCTGGAATTGAGCCGCAGCTCCATGGTGCATCGAGTAGGCCCATATGATGGCTCTGTCCATGCACAATGATGAGCTATGCCCAGTAGTTCCAGGTTACGAGCAGGTGCACTGCCGGCCTGCATAGGGAAATGTTGGATCCTCAGTCATGCACACGGCTCATATTATGCATTGCTTTCAAGCCGTTATGGAACTGAAAGATATTTCTTTCTGCGTTCTCCATTTAAGAATGAATTGAACAAAACCCTCAACTAGTTAAGATACTTTAAAAATACATTTCCAAAAAACAATGTGCATGTTCGGTGCGGCTGTCGTACTGTACTCCTACACGCCTCGCGCGCCCACTTCCCTTGCGAGATTTTGCAGCTCCTATCTGTGCGTCGCTGACAAGGGGTAATTATCTGACGAATAGTTTGAATTGTGTTTTGTATTTATTTTATCCTGCAGTGCTGGTGAGACAACCTACAATTTGGACCATGCCAACAACCTGAGAGTGGAGGTGCAGAAGCTCTATGAGTTGATAGATGCTTTAAGGTGAGAAACGAGTCCTTGCGTGGAATTCTATTGGTTGCAAAAGATGTTCTTTTTAGTTCTCGAAACCTAAATGTCATTGGTTAGAATTCGTCCGCCAGTTTGCTGTCATTTCTTGCATGTTGCGGTCGAAATTAGCACAGAATAGTGGGTGCTTGTGTCTGCTTTGATACATTTTCTGCAGATGCTTCAGAACCCCAGCCTCATCTTCAGTCTTGCACAGCTGTACCGGCTCCTCTCCTGGACTGAAATGGCTTCCTCTGATGTCACTGCACACTGGGAGCTTCTCGCAAGGTGCATTAGAAGCCGCAACAAGTCAGATAGAGCCCGCCCTCATTTCCTGGCTGGAGGACGTCCAGCATCAGCTAGCACTTTCCTCCCCAGCCTGACGGCCTCTGGCCTGCCTCTTTCATTTATTGGAATTCAGTTCTCTAATTCTTTGAGGCTCAGTTTCACATGTGGGAATGACTTATTGCAGTCTGCATGCAAATGAAGACTGGCTAGAAACACCAAGATAACTAAACCGAGTGAATGTTAGCTGTACACCCCGGTCCATTAAAAAGTTCTGGAAGTGGTAATACACGTTGCAGAAGCTGCCACAGCCTATGACCGTGGTTGCAGCTGTCCCATGATAGCATGTACTCTAAAAAGAAACTTCAGTGATCCTTGCAGAAGGCCATACAGGTCAGTAACATTCTTATTATTTGCTCTATTGTAAACACAGTATATAGGGGCATATGCTGCACCTGTAGCAAGACCAACATCTAAAGCACTGCTGCCTCTGACTGCTAGTGTCACCAGATTTAGAGTGAATTCTGGTGGTGTCACTACTGTGCTGCTCACTGTTCTCCTTGCTGGAGAGGAAGCTGTACTTGAGGCTTTGCAGTGCATGGATCTTTCTGCTTCATGCATTCTGTGGATCTGTGCTCCTTTATCATTACTCCACCAGACATCAGAGCAGCAGTCATGGGGGGGGGCAGCTCTAACTTGAGGAAGCAAAGCCCTGCCTCTGCCAGTATGGCTGCATGCACACCGATACAGTGGAGAATAAGGCATAGTAAATCATTAATGGGAGACAGATTGGCTGCTGGGAGATCACTGGCAATTATATTTATTGATTTGCCCTCTGTGCCTTTTTAAGGCACAGCTTCCACAGCTCAGGTCGGTGATTACTGGATTTTATAACTGTGTACCACATGTTAAGATTTCCCCTTTGCTGTTAAAAAAAATATTTCTTTCATACTGCCTAATTTAGCAAAAAGATCCTAATTCTGGGAGTGAATGAAGAGCCCAAACCTCACCCGAAAAACCTGCAGCTGCAGAAGATGGTGCGATACTCGGCCACGTTGTTTGTACAGGTATGGTATTCACTGGAGATGTAGGGAATGTGCTTTACAAACTAAAGGGGGAATTTATAGTCCTTCAAATATGGCAGAATCACCACTTTCAATATGTGTGTGTTCTTTTAAAGCAGACTTACAGCCCAAATTAAACCTTCCCCAATCAGGGAACAGGTCATAATTCTCAAGCCACAGTTTACAATTCAATCATAAATTACCTTTCCCCTGGAATCCTTGAATTCTTCTATTGCTGGTCTCATTCATGGGACCACCTGTCAGCACATTGATCATATGAACTCGGCTAAAGAGGTTTGGCAAATTTCAGTGGCTCTCCTTGAACCCTGACCCACCACTTCAGCAGTGAGCCTACGAACTGCTGGCTGGTGACATGACTGGAATTAATTAAGCTTTAAAAAAGAACAGGACCTACCTGTACCTATTACATTTATGATGCTGCTAGCAACCTAAAGCAACCACGTCCATCCTGCAGCATGAGATGGTCTAAAGCCTTGCTTCTCAACTGGTGGGTCGTGACCCAAAATGTTTAGTCGGTCGCCGCATGCCTCCTACTTTTCTAGGTGAGAGGCTCGTCTGCCCCCCCCCCCGTCAGTTCTCGCGCCAAGCAGCCATTCAAAATATGCTGCCTGGTGGCGAGTGTCAGCTTGAGGTAGGGTGGGATGGGGCTATGGCCGAGAAGGAGCTCCATCCATACGTGCATTGCTTGCAGCTCCCTCATGTGTCCTATAGAGGTGCCCGGACCACATTCTGGCTCCTGGCACCTCTACAGGGCATGCAAGGGAGCTGTACAAGCATTGCACATATGGATGGAGCTCCACCACAGCACAGCAGCCCACAATGGACCCCAGGCTGAGGATTCACTCCAGTTCTTGTAAGGTAGGGAGACTGGGTGGTCTTTTAACCTCTTGCCGTCCGCCCGTAGTAAAAAAAACGGACGGACGGCACTGCAGCATCTGCGGGTTGCCGTCTCCAGACGGCAATTTTTTTCTGCTCGCGCGCGCCCCCTAGCGGGCACGCACGGGCAGAAAAGACCCGTCCAATGCGAACACCCGGTACCGGGTGTCACACATATAGGCGATCAGCGGGTCCATAGCCCGCCGATCGCCTATATGTGCTCGTTCGCCCTAGAGACCCCTAATATCTCCATAAAGAGGACCTGTCAGTGTGCCTTTGCTATTATATAGGGGGTTGTTATCCCCCCATATAATAGCAATAACAATAAGTGCAAAAAAAAATATATAAATAAAAAAAAAGGAAAGTAACACATAAAAAAATAAAATAAAATAAAAGCCACATATAAAAAAAGGGGAAAAAACCCCCCCAAAATGTTTAACTCCCCCACCCCCACGTTTACGCGCCTATAAACGTAAATACGCGTCCGGTGCCCCAGCGCGCAAAAATTACAATTGCGCTACACATGTTACATATCGCCGCGAACGTCGCAGTGAGAGCAATCATTTTAGGGCCATCAATCACTGATAACACTAAACTGATGAGCGGTTAACAGCTTTTAAAGCGTCGCCTAGGGCCAATTTTGGGTATTATCGTTTTTTGAGGTTTCGCGCGCGCACGCAATTTTAAGGCTTGACATGTTTAGTGTCTTTTTACCCGACGTGACCCCATCTTTTATATTTTACCAAAAAATTGGGTAATAATAAATGTTTTATCATTTAATATAGGGGAAACTGTTTTTTTTTTTTTTACATTTCGGTAATTTTTCCTTAATATAGTAAAAAAATAAAACCCCCAGTGGTGAATAAATACCACCAAAAGAAAGCTCTATCTGTCCCCAAAAAAGGGTATAAAATTCATTTCAGTACAGCGCTGCATGACGGAATAAATCTCAGTTAAAGTACCGCAGCGCTGAATACTGAAAAATGGCCTGGATGGGAAGGGGGTTTAACACCGCGGATGTCAACTGGTTAAAAAAAAAAGTTTGGAGTGTGTATGTCTGTGTGAGGGTATCTGTGGTTGTGTGTGTATGTATGCATGTCAGTGTTTTTGAGGGCTCGTTCACACAAGTACGGTGCGCTAATCGCACAGTACCGTGTGATCAATGCACTGTACCACGCAATCGCACCTACCGTGCATTCTGGTGTGGGAGTTGTGTTGCGTTGCCATTATTTGAACAGTAACCCCCCAATGCACCTCTTACCCACAGTTCATACGCCCGCACGGAAGGCACGCGTATTCCATTGCCGCGTGACTTGGGTCGCGACTTATTGACCAAGGACAAATGTGGGTCCTGAGGTCACACAGGTGGAGAACCACTGCTCTAAAGCTAAAAAACACACTAGAAATAGTCAGATGTTTAGTGAGGAGGAGGTTCAGGTGCCGGGTGCGATGCCATGAAAACCTCCATGTTCCTGTCATTTTGAAGAGTTTAGATAACTTTGGATAAATCTACTGGTTAGGAAATCCATTTCTTTTTTTTTCCAGGAAAAACTTTTAGGTCTCATGTCACTGCCAACCAAAGAGAAATATGAAGAGCTGAAGGAGAAGCGTAAACAGGAAAATGAACAAAAACTACAACGAGAGCGACAGGTGAGAGAGCTCCAGACTTCCCTGAGATATAACATATAGGTTTTCAAAAGATCCGATCACACTCGGGGCACGGTCACAGTGCTGTGATGCAAACATAATCAATGCAGGAACTGCATGTGTAATGTACGCATATAATACCTTCCCTTGTTCTCCCCTTCCCCCAATCAAAATGCAATGAAAATTAAAATACCTCTTTTGAGACCCAATGACCTCATCACTGGGTCTGTCTGTTGGCCGTTGCTCCAAGTTTGGTGTGAGGAGTTGTAGGCGCCTGCAAACATCACAGCACCCTGCCTCAAGTGTTATGTGACAGAACACGTTCTCAGCATCCCTTTAGACATGCATGCTTGCTGGCCCCTGGGAGCTGCCAATTTTAGCTGTGCAATCTGCCGCTCACTCTAGTAGAGTGTAGTCAAGGAAATGATCACAAGATTGCATAGCTTAAGTCCAGGGGCGTCCCAAGGCTGGGTGACACCCGGAGTGGTAACCGATGACGTCATCGCGCATGCGCGTCAGTATTCTGATACCTGCCGGCGGCCATCTTGGTGATGGATGCCGGCAGAGAGAGGAGGGGACAGTCAACTGGCGGGATAAGGTATGCCGCTGGGTCCCCTCCTCTCTCCTGATACTGTTGGGCGTTCGGTCCATGACCGAGCGCCCGACTTTTCAGAGGTGGGATCGGCCCAGGACCGAGCGCCCGACTTTTCAGAGGTGGGTGACACCAAAATGACCGAGTCATTTTGGTGTCACCCCTCAAATGGTGTCACCCGGGTGCGGGCAGCACCCCCCGCACCCTCCTTGTGACGCCACTGCTTAAGTCTACACCACCCAGTGACCCGCTGGGAATCGTATGCATGTCTGCTAAAGTGATGCTGGGGATGTGTTCTTTCATATAATGCTCGGGAACAGCAGTACGGTGACTGGCACCAGCCCTAAAGATCACGCCCACACTTCATGAAGAGTAAAAATGATTGATGGAGGGAAAGCTAATCATGTGGTGAGCCAATGACAGTACAGATCAGGAGTGGGGGTTGGGGTCATTGAAGTCTTTCAGACAAGAAATGAAGGTGGGCTCAAGCTTGCTGCTGCATCTTCAGGGAGACGTCGTGATGAAAATTTGCAGGGATCTGAGAGGAATCTGTTTCAACAGAGGAAAGGACTTGCTACAATTGGGGGGGG